CCCTCACCCATGCAGGTCCACAGGATTATTCCTTCCCAGGGTCAGGATGCTACACCTGCTTTCACTGAACTTCATGAGCTTCCTCTCTGCCCAGCTCCCCAGCCTGTGCAGGTCTCACTGAATGGCAGCACAGCTCTGCTGTCTCAACCACTCCTCCCAGTTCTGCACCATCACCAGACTGGCTGAGGGTCCACCCTGTCCTTCCTCCAGGTCACTGAGGAAGACACTGAACAAGACTGGACCCAGTCCTGACCCCTGGGGAACACCATGAGCTCCAGGCCTCCAACTAGACTGTGCTGCTGATCACAACCCTCTGAGCTGTGTCCTTCAGCCAGTTCTCAGCCCACCTCCCTGCCCACTCCTCTGACCCACACTTCTGAGCTTCCCTACGAGGATGTTGTGGGAGGTGGGGTCAGAAGCCTCACTGAGCTTGAAGCAGGCAACTATCCACAGGACATTTAGGAATGTGTTGTCACTTAGGCTGTGATGAGTCTTCCATACCTTTTTCAGCCTGAATCCAGAGAGTTTTCCCAGCTCAGCATCCACTAGATAAAAAAAGATAGAATGGGCTATTTCTTCTAACTGGCGAAGGACATTTTTAGTTGCTGGGAAAGCTGTAACCTGGAAAAAGACAAATTGAAACAGAGATTAAAAATCAACTGACACAAAAGAAAGAAAAAAAGAAAACCAAGACAGAAAGATTCTTTCAAGCCTATTTATGAGGATGAGGTCTGTCCTACCAGAATAACCTCACAGTTTTCTGTGAAATGGGACTCCACAGTATTTTTTTTTAAATCTTCTTCCAAGGAGGGGAATAATTACTGAGAACATGAATAAAGCTGTCACCAGGGAAAGCAATTTACCTTGTACTCATCATCAATCAAGAGCAGGACTTTGGCATAGTCTTGATCCATGATAGGCAGAAGCAAAGTCTGAAGAACTGGATGCTTCAAAAGAGGGGGAGCTACCTGACTTCTCTTCCCAAAGATGGGGTTAAAGACATACAGAAAGCTCATTTTGGTTTCCTAGGAAACAAACAAGATGTAAAACGTTTTCAAAGGTGGAAAGGAGAGCCAGTTTTCTACCTGTTACTTGCTGGTGTTGACTATTCATACCCTGGACCCAGCTACTCCACCCTCAAACTCACACACAATCTATCCCACATTTCTCTGCCAAAGCCACACTGTGGTGTAATGCAGCATTCATGGCTTTATCTCAGCTCTGTCTGCCACCTGCTGAGGCAGCTTCAGCACATCACAATGTCTCCTCCTTCCTCCTGTATGGAGTACAAACCATCCTGCAGCTAAATGTCACCTAGCTAATGGAGATCACATATGACTTAACTCACAGGACCAGAGAAACCAGATGAAATTTTTCCCATTGTTTCAATAAAATGCTTCAAAATGAGCATCCTTAAATTTTTTTTGGATTGTGTGTCTGCTTCCCTCCAGCTCTCACTCTCCTGTCCCCACATGGGAGATAACCAGACAATACCCTAAAGGCTATTTTCTTGCAGCCTTTCAAAGGGCAGATTTCCACAGGCTCAGAGGTAGGGGACTCACCTTGTCCTTAATAAGCAAGGTGCACTGGGGAGGGTGTGGGAAATGGGCTGTTGTTCTCTGGACCATCAGCTTAAAGGAGGAGCCTGGTCTCACGTTCCTGAGATATTGCTTCCACAGGATGGTGCCAGAACTGCTTTCAATACCAAAGAGCTGAGCAGAGAGAGACAGTAAAACCAACATTTAGAAAGACTCACCTCTTCCTTTGGGATACAACAAAGAAAGAAGAGTCCTAGTCCCTCTCCAAAGCTACCACAAAACATTCTGCACATCTTCTCAGGATATTCTGGCTAAAAACAGGGGTGGGAATTCAAAGCTGAGCCTCTTTGTTACACCACAGAACAGATTCCCACCCTGGCTGCCTCACCTTTCCCGAGGCAGTGACCATCACCATCATTTTCTGGAGGTTGAACTCATCTCTGGCCAAATTGTCAATGTTAATCTCATTTTTAATCTGGCTCCGTGGTTTCCTGGCATCATAGAACATCTTCCAAAGATGAGCAGTCCAGGCCTGCAGCAGGATAAGCTGGGAGGAGAGCCTCTTCAGGAACATGCCCAGCAAACCATCTGCAAACAGGCCAACAGTGATACCAAGAGGGGAAAAAAACCTGCTCTGCACTCCACAACTGAAACAACAGCCTCAGCCAGGAGAAAGGCACATGCACAACCCTATGACAACCTTTGCCTCTGTCTCCCACTCCAGAGCAGCAGAGTTACAGGGACCATTTCTATCACAGGCTCTGGCATCTACCAGCCTTCTCCCACTTCATGCTGGTGCAGCTCATCCCAAAAGATGCTCTCAGCACCAGAGAGCAAACCTTCTTCCAGAGCATGTGACCTCTT